TTCTGGATCAAGCCCAAAATTGGTCAACATCATAATATGGTGGGAGGAGTCATTTGGTTAAGTTGGAATGAAATCCGATCTCTAGAACTACCCAATACACCAACCACCCGAATTAGGAACGAACTGCCTTTCAATTTGAATTGTCCAATTTCTTACACCTATTGATTTCGGATCAAGCCCAAAATTGGTCAACATCATAATATGGTGGGAGGAGTTATTTGGTTAAGTTGGAATGAAATCCGATCTCTAGAACTACCCAATACACCAACCACCCGAATTAGGAACGAACTGCCTTTGAACTTGAATTGTCCAATTTCTTACACCTATTGATTTCGGATCGAGCCCAAAACTGGGGCAACATCACAATATGGTGGGAGGAGTGATTTGGTTATTTTTTAGTGAAATCCGATTGCTAGAACTATGGAATACACCAACCACTCCGATTAGGAACGAACTGCCTTTGAACTTGAATTGTCCAATTTCTTACACCTATTGATTTCGGATCGAGCCCAAAACTTGGGCAACATCATAATATGGTGGGAGGAGTCATTTGGTTAAGTTTGAGTTAAATCCGATCTCTAGTACTACCCAAAACACCAACCACTCCAATTAGGAACGAATTGCCTTTGAACTTGAATTTTCCAATTTCTTACACCTATTGATTTCGGATCAAGCCCAAAATTGGTCAACAACATAATATGGTGGGAGGAGTCATTTGGTTAAGTTGGAATGAAATCCGATCTCTAGAACTACCCAATACACCAACCACTCCAATTAGGAACGAATTGCCTTTGAACTTGAATTTTCCAATTTCTTACACCTATTGATTTCGGATCGAGCCCAAAACTGGGGCAACATCACAATATGGTGGGAGGAGGGATTTGGTTATTTTTGAGTGAAATCCGATTGCTAGAACTATGGAATACACCAACCACTCCGATTAGGAACGAACTGCCTTTGAACTTGAATTGTCCAATTTCTTACACCTATTCATTTCGTATCGAGCCCAAAATATGGGCAACATCATAATACGGTGGGACGAGTCATTTGGTTAAGTTTGAGTGAAATCCAATCTCTAGAACTACCCAAAACCCCAACCACTCCAATTAGGAACGAATTGCCTTTGAACTTGAATTTTCCAATTTCTTACACCTATTGATTTCGGATCGAGCCCAAAACTGGGGCAACATCACAATATGGTGGGAGGAGGGATTTGGTTATTTTTGAGTGAAATCCGATTGCTAGAACTATGGAATACACCAACCACTCCGATTAGGAACGAACTGCCTTTGAACTTGAATTGTCCAATTTCTTACACCTATTCATTTCGTATCGAGCCCAAAATATGGGCAACATCATAATACGGTGGGACGAGTCATTTGGTTAAGTTTGAGTGAAATCCAATCTCTAGAACTACCCAAAACCCCAACCACTCCAATTAGGAACGAATTGCCTTTGAACTTGAATTTTCCAATTTCTTACACCTATTGATTTCGGATCGAGCCCAAAACTGGGGCAACATCACAATATGGTGGGAGGAGGGATTTGGTTATTTTTGAGTGAAATCCGATTGCTAGAACTATGGAATACACCAACCACTCCGATTAGGAACGAACTGCCTTTGAACTTGAATTGTCCAATTTCTTACACCTATTGATTTCGGATCGAGCCCAAAACTTGGGCAACATCATAATATGGTGGGAGGAGTCATTTGGTTAAGTTTGGGTGAAATCCGATCTCCAGAACTACCTAAACCACAAACCACTCCAATCAGGAACGAACTGCCTTCGAACTTGAATTGTCCAATTTCTTGCACCTATCGATTTCGGATCGAGCCCAAAACTTGGGCAACATCATAATATCGTGGGAGGAGTCATTTGGTAAAGTTTGAGTGAAATCCGACCTCTTGAACTACCCAAAACACCAACCACCCCAATTAGGAACGAACTTCCTTCGAACTTGAATTGTCCAATTTCTTACCCCTATTTATTTCGGATCGTGCCCAATACTTGGGCAACATCATAATATGGTGGCAAGAGTCATTTGGTTAATTTTGAGTGAAATCCGATCTCTACAACTACCCAAAACACCAACCACTCCAATTAGGAACGAACAGCCTTTGAACTTGAATTGTCCAATTTCTTATACCTATTGATTTCGGATCGAGGCCAAAATTTGGGCAACATCATAATATGGTGGGAGGAGTCATTTTGTGAGTTTTGAGTGAAATCCAATCTCTAGAACAATGGAATACACTAACCACTCCGATTAGGAACGAACTGCCTTTGAACTTGAATTGTCCAATTTCTTACCCCGATTTATTTCGCATCGAGCACAAAACTTGGGCAACACTATAATATGGTGGGAGGAGTCATTCGGTTAAGTTTGAGTGAAATCCAATCTACCACTCCAATTAGGAACGAACTGCCTTTGAACTTGAATTGTCCAATTTCTTACACCAACTGATTCCGTATCGAGCCCAAAACTTGGGCAATATCATAATATGGTGGGAGGCGTCATTTGGTTAATTTTAAGGATAATAAGATCTCTAGAACTACCCAATACACCAACCACCCCAATTAGGAACGAATTGCGTTTAAACTTGAATTGTCCACTTTCCTACACCTATTGATTTCGGATCGAGCCCAAAACTCAGGCAACATCATAATATGGTGGGAGGAGTCATTTGGTTCAGTTTGAGTGAAATCCAATGTCTAGAACTACCCAAAACACCAACCACTCCAATTAGGAAAGAACTGTCTTCGAACTTGAATTGTCCAATTTCTTAAACCTATTGATATCTGATCGGGCCCAAAACTTGGGCAACCTCATAATATGGTGGGAGGAGTCATTTGGTTAAGTTTGAGTGAAATCCGATCTCTAGAACTTCCCAAAACACCAACCACTCCAATTAGGAACGAACTGCCTTTGAACTTGAATTGTCCGATTTCTTACACCTATTGATTTCGGATCGAGCCCAAAACTTGGGCAACATCATAATATGGTGGGTGGAGTCATTTGGTTAAGTTTGAGTGAAATCCAATCTCTAGAACTACCCAAAACACCAACCACTCCATTTGGAACGAACTGCCTTTGAACTTGAATTGTCCAATCTCTTGCACCTATTGATTTCAGATCGAACCCAAAACTTGGGCAACATCATAATATGGTGGGAGGAGTCATTGGGTTAAGTTTGAGTGAAATCCGATCTCTAGAACTACCCACAACACCAACCACTCCAATTAGGAACGAACTGCCTTTGAACTTGAACTGTCCAATTTCTTACACCTATTGATTGCGGATCAACCCCAAAACTTGGGCAACATCATAATATGGTGGGAGGGGTCATTGGGTTAAGTTTGAGTGAAATCCGATCTCTAGAACTACCCACAACACCAACCACTCCAATTAGGAACGAACTGCCTTTGAACTTGAACTGTCCAATTTCTTACACCTATTGATTGCGGATCAACCCCAAAACTTGGACAACATCATAATATGGTGGAAGGAGTCATTTGGTTAATTTTGTGTGAAATCCGATCTCTAGAACTATGGAATACACCAACCACTTCAATTAGGAACGAACTGCCTTTGAACTTGAATTGTCCAAGTTCTTACACCCATTGATTTCGGATCGAGCCCAAAACTTGGGCAACATCATAATATGGTGGGAGGAGTCATTTGGTTAAGTTTGAGTGAAATCCAATCTCTAGAACTACCCAAAACACCAACCACTCCAATTAGGAACGAACTGCCTTTGAACTTGAATTGTCCAATCTCTTGCACCTATTTATTTCGGATTGAACCCAAAACTTGGGCAACTTCATAATATAGTGGTAGGAGTCATTTGGTTAATTTTGAGTGAAATCCGATCTCTAATACTACCCAAAACACCAACCACTCCAATTAGGAACGAACTGCCTTTGAACTTGAATTGTCCAATTTCTAACACATATTGATTTCGGATCGAGCCCAAAACTTGGGCAACATCATAATATGGTGGGAGGAGTTATTTGGTTATGTTTGAGTGATATCCGATCTCTAGAACTACCCAAAACACCAACCACTCCAATTAGGAACGAACTGCCTTTGAACTTGAATTGTCCAATTTCTTACACCAACTGTTTCCGGATCGAGCCCAAAACTTGGGCAACATCATAATATGGTGGGAGGAGTCATTTGGTTAAGTTTGAGTGAAATCCAATCTCTAGAACTACCCAAAACACCAACCACTCCAATTTGGAACGAATTGCCTTTGAACTTGAATTGTCCAATTTCTTACACCTATTGATTTCGGATCGAGCCCAAAACGTGGGCAACAACATCATATGGTGGGAGGAGTCATTTGGTTAAGTTTGAGTGAAATCCAATCTCTAGAACTACCCAATACACCAACCACCTCAATTAGGAACGAACTGCCTTTGAACTTGAATTGTCCAATTTCTTACACCCATTGATTTCGGATCGAGCCCAAAACTTGGGCAACATCACAATATGGTGGGCGGAGTCATTTGGTTAAGGGCTAGTTTGGCATTGCCGTGCTTTTAAAAAAAACTGCTTCTGCTATGCTTTTAAAAAAAACTGCTGTGAAAAAAAGCAGTTAGGCGTTTGCTAAACTGTATTTGAAAAATTGATGTGAGTAGTCGAAGTGTTTGGTAAATTTTTATCAGAAGTGCTTTTAATATGTATAATGACCGAAAAGGGCATGGTGATGAAATTGTTTGTTTTTTTCTTCATTCTTTTTCTACTTTAAAAAAAAGAAAACAAACTTCACTACATAATTTTTTTTTCTTTTTATAATTTACACTTTTTTTTTAAATCAAAAATTGTAATCTACAATTAGCACACATATATTACCATAAATTATAAATCAATATTGTAACAAAAGTATTTATAAATATTGTTATATTAATAATAACAACTTGTTTTGAGGGCTTCGGAGAGGGTTAGCATAACAAATATACAAAACTTGTTCAATTTTAACATGCCCAAATAGATGACTACAATATAAAAGAAGCTAATTAGATGTATTCATTAAACTTGTAGCGATACTATTTCTCAATGCTTCCATATCTTGTGTTCCATTGTCATGAAGACTATGTTCTTGTTGTACATCAATATCCTCACCTATCTCTTCACTTAAGATATCATTTGAAGCATCAAAATGTCTATCACGTTGGGCATGCCTCCTTATATAATTATGAAGTGTCATTGTAGCAATGACTATCTTCACTTGCTTGTTGAATGGATAATTAGGCATATCTCTTAAAATTTTCCCATCCTTCTTTTTTAAAATGAGTGCCAGGACGACGTCCGGCATCCACCTCCTTGATGCACAGATCACAGAATATGGATATATTATGGTTATTCCATGTAGCTGGAGCTTTTGATGAACTTCCCACATTCTTTCCCATCCTTACTAAAGCAATATGTGTTGAGTATGAGAAATAGATAATAGCAAATAATTATCCCAATATACATTATACTGAAAGCATAAAAATAGCAAACTTTCCTTTTCCTACATGAGAAATAGATAATAGCAAAATTTCCCACTATATGCTATATGTTTAAAAATGATGATGGCTCCCAAAAAAACTTCCTTAAACCCACTTCTCAATCTCAACAAGGGACAAAGAGTCCAAGCATGGAGTTTTCCTAATGATTCATGAAAGAAAACCAAGAACAAGAAGAATCCACACATGAAAATAAATTGATCACTTTGACAATTGACATAAGAACAAGAACTATATAATTTTCCTAATCTTTAATATATATTACTTGAGGAACTAGCTAGCCTATTCTGCCAAGAGGAGACAAAGATGACGTAAAGTCTTAGCCAATATTTCCAGCTAACTAGGGAACATTGTTATTGAATCTCTTAGCCAAAATTTCCAGCTTACCACAGTGGCCAGCATGCTACAAACATGGGGTGAGTATATAACCAGCCAACTCAACAAATGCTGTTCACTTTAGATAAGGAACACACGACAAAGAATCCTTGTGAAATAGCAAAGGCCAAACACCATATGTCCCAAAAGAAAAGCACATTCCCCACCCAAGACGGAACCCAAAACCACCTCTTTTCATCCACAAGCCACCCCCTCCACTCCAACAAGAACTAAACATGTCTAAATCCAGCACCATTGCCAACAGAGATGCTGCAAAAATGGCTGCATATGCTCCTGTGGAAATAGGCACCAGAGGCACCGTTGGATCCCTCATAATGAAAGAAATTGAGCACTTCAGCTGCCTCGAATTAAGCAGCAGATGTAGCTCACACAAGCCTCAGCCACAATTTAAAGACATGGTTTCCTCTGGTAGTCATTTGACACCCGCTTGAATCAGTGGTTAAAACACAAAAGAAGAAAAGGAGAGGCACTAGGATCCTACCAAGCATATGTTCTATGGTGGAAAAATCAACACGGGACTTGACTTTTGGGGACTTGGGTTGCAATTATATATATATATTGTTCTTCTGTATAGATAATCCTGAAAAAGTTAACCTAAAAACTAAACAATTTCGATCAATGGTTTACAATCTAGAATAGATAAATTCTTATTTTAACTAAAAACTTCCTTATACCATAGAAAACATCTACCATCTATATCACCTAATCTAAAATACTTTGCACCCGGTGTGATTGTGAGGAAAAAAAATGTATGTAAAGAACCAGATTGGCCTAGCAGGTTTTGTTCTTAAGATTTTGGAACTGTACTAAACTATACAATGAGCTATGAACAATGATGGTTGGGTAATCTAGAGAAAAAAAGCATCTAGGACAGACATGTTTCAGAGAAAGAGAAACAGAGACAGAAGTCTGACCCAAAGGCCAATTGAAAACCTCAGACCAAGCTAGGGAGAAAACAAAACCTTGCCAAAAAGCAAGGATAGACAAACCCAGTACAAAAACTCTCTCTCTCTATCTCTCTGTCTCTCCCGTGTCTTCCCCCTAAAGCCCCAAGAACACAAAGCCCTCAATCTCATAGAAACAAAAAAAAACCAAATTTCATAACATATATAAACCCACAAATCATAAATGTAATGAAAAGATGAACTCACTGATGAATAGCTGATTATTGTTGGCAATTAGCTTCCTTGATTGAGACTGGAATTTTGAGATGCAAGGGGAGGAAGAAGAAGAAAAGTGAGAAGAGCAGAGAGTGAAGGTCTGTGAGAGATTGAGGTCGTGAGATCTAAAAGTTTGAGAGAGGGTCAAACGTTGTCCTTTCGTAAAATATTTAGGGGCATTATAGGAATAATGAAACTTTCATTAATAAAAAAACCGGCTCTTTTTTTAAGCAGCTTTTGAAAGCTGGGTATTGGCAGCTTTGAGTTTTTGCTTTTTATGATTGGTGTTTTTAAAATAAGCGCCTTTTTTTGGGTTTACCAAACACCCAACTCATGCCAAATTTTTATTAAAGCTGCTTTTAAAAAAATTTCAGCGGGGCCAAACGCCACCTAAGTTTGAGTGAAATCCAATCTCTAGAACTACCAAAAACACCAACCACTCCAATTAGGAACGAACTGGCCTTGAACTTCAATTGTCCAATTTCTTACACCTACTGATTTCGGATCGAGCCCAAAACTTGGGCAACAACATAATATGGTGGGAGGAGTCATTTGGTTAGTTTTGAGTGAAATCCGATCTCTAGAACTATGGAATACACCAACCACTCCGATTAGGAACGAACCGCCTTTGAACAGAAATTGTCCAGTTTCTTGCACCTATTGGTTTCGGATCGAGCCCAAAACTTGGGCAACATCATAACATGGTGGGAGGAGTCATTTGGTTAACTTTGAGTGAAATCCAATCTCTAGAACTACCCAAAACCCCACCCACTCCAATAAGGAACGAACTGCCTTTGAACTAAAATTTTCCAATTTCATACACCTATTTATTTCAGATCGTTCCCAACACTTGGGTAACATCACAACATGGTGGGCGGAGTCATTTGGTTTATTTTGAGTGGAATCCAATCTCTAGAACTACCCAATACACCAACCAGTCCAATTAGAAACGAACTACCTTTGAACTTGAATTGTCCAATTTCTTACACCTATTGATTTCGGATACAGCCCAAAACTTGGGCAACATCATAATATGGTGGGAGGCGTCATTTGGTTAGTTTTCAGCGAAATCCGATCTCTAGAACTGTGGAATACGTAAACCACTCCGATTCGGAACGAACTTCCTTTGAACATAAATTGTCCAATTTCTTACACCTATTGATTTCGGATCGAGAGCAAAACATGGGCAACATCATCATATGGTGGGAGGAGTCATTTGGTTAAGTTTGAGTGAAATCCGATCTCTAGAACTTCCCAAAACACCAACCACTCCAATTAGGATCAACCTGCCTATGAACATGAATTGTCCAATTTCTTAAACCTATTGATTTCGGATCGAGCCCAAAACTTGGGCAACAACATAATATGGTGGGAGGAGTCATTTGGTTAAATTTGAGTGAAATCCGATCTCTAGAACTACCGAAAACACCAACCATACCAATTAGGAACGAACCGCCTATGAACTTGAATTGTCCAATTTCTTAAACCTATTGATTTCGGATCGAGCCCAAAACTTGGG